CCAGGGGGCCGAGACGGATCCAGTTTGAAGGTTAAGATTGCATGGTGACACCCCCACGGCAGGGGTCGGAGAGGGCCCGGATTCTTAGGGTACAAGGAATTTTTATGACACGGATGGCCCTGTGAGTTTCAAGATGGCGACGGACTCATCAGTCTGATGGGGGAAGCCAGCAAAATCCACCAATCTTTTCTTCTTATGTCTAAGAAAAGCTGGGCAGTCCAGAAAAGCACACGTCACCATCACATCTTCGCCGAAGATTTCGCTCCTGGAGAGCAAGCCGCTCAGAATGGTCCAGGAGACTGTCCAGGAGACTGTGAGGGAAGTAGACCAATGGTGACTCTGTCTGGTCCAAAACAGAGTGTCAGCAACAGCCACGATGGTCCATCATGGTCAGAAGGGTCCAGTGGCTCCATCATGGTGACCAATGGTGACCACTCGCCGCTCGGTGGCCGATGAGTTCCACAGCGTACGCAGAAAGACGGACGGACTCGCCAGGCCCAGTGCTTCAGTGCTCTCCTGTGCGGCGAACGTGTTCGGAGCCCTCGCGGAAGAAGAGTCCGAGAACGGGTGAAATACAACAGACCCCATCATCAGGCTTTCATTTTGAAGGCTGCCATTTGTGCAACATGTCATGGAAATGCTGTGACCAAAGTGGACAATTCATGGTAATTCATGATAATTTGACCTTTCCTGGATGTATTGGAATAGCTATTGAGAATGGGCTCTCACGAGACATGGCAAGACCGATTTCTCCAGAGAGGTCTTCAGACCAGCACTCCTCCAAGATCCACGTGGACCGTCCACGTAGCATGCCGTGCTTTCGCACACCATGACTGGCCCACACCTTGGGTGCCCAAGCGGCTGAGTTTCCACCCGCCACCCGCGGTACCGGGCCCGCCGAGGCCCTGCAACATCACGGTCACTTGGACGGAGCCCAACGGGGAAACGACCGACGCACGCGACCTCCGCGGCACGGGAGGGTCACCAGTGGTACGTTCGGTCGAACGCTTCCCTCACCGGTAGCGTTCGGTCGAACGCTCGCGTGATACGGTGGAGGTCGCAACAAAAAACACTTTTTGGCGTCATATGTGACGACGTGAAGGGTCGGCAGGATCCTTGGATCTCTTGGAGTTCTGAGCTTTCGACTTGCAGACTAAAGAGGGGAAAGGCTATAAGGACCTGAAAATGAAGGGGTCCTGATTTCTCATCTGTGTGATTGAATTGCCCACAAACGTCCTGCATACAGATCCAGATTTTTGATAACACGAATTGTGAAGCAGTGGACAGTTGGGGGGAGTTCAAGTCTATTTTGGACAGAGATGCTTGTCATGAAGCGACAGAAAACCCTTCTGGACGTTTGCTGGCAAGGTGTACGTCTATGTTCTGAGCAGTGGCCACAACTCTGGATACCATGCTTGGGTAGGGGATGGTAGGGGTTCTGAATGGTTCTGACATATGAATAATAGATTAAATATAATAAAAGACAATAATAACGTACTAGTACATACACATGTCACATGCATGTATAATGGATGTTCTACCAGGTGGTTGCTCTTAGCTCACAATAGCTCATTTGTTTGCTCATCGTCGGATCATTTGCGAACCCTTTTTGCGGAGAGACCGCGGTCTCAGGTCACAGGCGTCCGACTGGCCAGTGACGATGTCCTCCAGGCGAGGGATGGTGGGACGGTGGAACGGCGAACACCACGAGTTCGGAGGGTCGTGGTGGAATGTTATAAGGAAAGAACCATCCTTTCGTGAAGTTCACCACTTGTTTGGTCTTCGGACTGGCTGGTCATCCGAAAAAGTGGGGGCATGCCATCCGCTTTGGCCCATGTTTCAGGGAGTGTCTCCAGCCCAGCAGGGCTGTCACTAAGTGTGTAGTTAGTGGGCATGTGACGAGAGTTTTTCTACGAGGATGTGAAACATTGTCCTCTCAGTGGGTCAGGGCAGTGTAACAGAGTCGCTCGAGTCGGGGGCTTCTTTGGTCGTTTCTTCGTTTCTTGGTGCACCGGGTGTGTGTGTGTGTGTGTCCACCCCTGGACCAAGGGTTTCGTCCAACCGATCCACC